TTGTATCCAGGAGCATCTGCAGTCTTTCAACACTCGACTATTCTTTCAACTTCCGTTTTGCAATCTGATGTGGCACAAGTATTATATCAAGTGATTTACAGTCTGCATTTGTCCATCCATCTGTTATTTGTTTCAGTGCATTCAAACCTTTTTATGAAAGACCTGACATTTTCAAGGAGGATAAAGGGGGTGAGTATTGTCAAAAGACATTGCATTTGCCTTGATGTCTTCTTACATGACAGTATGTATCCATGCATTTTATCCACAGATTCATATCTTTCTCCCCGTCAACTGAATTTGGCTTTTATTTTTAGCCACCACAGACAGACTGAGGGTTGCAAAGCAGCTTGTCAAGCAAAGAACATGAAGTGAGCCAAAGTTTTCAAACTCGGGATTTGATCACGAAGTCTCATTTCAAGCTACATGACAAAAAAACCTCATAATTTCGGGTGATTTATATTAAAACAATGCATGCTGTCGCACTGTCTTCCAGAAATGAGCTCCTCTGGGAACACTGACCTGGATGATAGTCCATAGTCCAAATTTACAGCCGGTGTAGAAAAACATTTTTTCCTCTAGCTCTTTAAAATAATACTTGCCAAAGACAACTTTGCATTGATCACTGTACCAGGTCTAGCAGGCAAAAACACATACCTACTAAAATAAGTTCTTAGCAAGGAAATAACAGAACATACAGATATATGATTTCTGTGTGAATTAGTTGGGAGAGTGGAGTCAATTATGACGCCGCTGTAAAAGAAAAAAACAAGAACATCTAAAGGCAAAATGAGGGGAATGTAACTGCTTCCCCATGTGTACCTGAGGCTGTAACTGACCTCCTAAAATGGCTTAATTCTGCCTGTTTACTATCAGTGTGCCAACTGCTGTAGCATTGTCAAGTCTGTAGCTATGAAAAGGACAAGGCAAAATGACCGGCATCCACTAAGTTCCAGCAGCTTTTCCTATTAAATTAAAACTCATAAAATAAGGAGGCCAATCTTGTTTAATTTTGTTGTGTTTAGGCAGTTTCTGTAAGTGGTGTCTTCTATTAGATAAACAAATCTGAATATATGTATTAGATGCTGTTTAAAAGAATATAGTTATCTACTTCCATTCACGTTCAGACTATTTCAAAGTACTGAGGTCTAGGGTTGCAGTTTTGTACTAGGGGATAATTAAAAATGATTAGGAATTTTCATTAATCATGAATGTTAACAAGATTTGAATATGAAATGGCAAGACATCGTGATGTAAAACTGAAAAAAGAAAAGGCAGAATTTTATTTTTGTTGGAAGCCGTTGAAATTTTATATTATTCCTAAATCTTAAGTGTGAAATTTGTGGATTACTAGTCACCAAATGCAAAATTTATGACTGTTTCAAACAGGTTCCTCTCCTGTCTGCCATTGGTTAGCTAAACAGGTAGCCCCATCCAAAAAAACATAACATTGGCTGGCTGATCAAGCAAACAGCAATGTTTTGATGGCACTCCAGAGCCACCATGTTTTTTGACATGTTTCGGTGAAACCAACCCACAAATTGTTTACCTATAGTTGTCCCTGCATAATAATCTTAGACATGTATTTTAAATTTGAAAAATGTCACACTTCACCTTTATTACGGGAACAGTTCTCTTACTATTAAACTCTCTACAGTGGTTTAGTGATTAAATATTTTTGGTTCAAAACTTCAGGTCTGTTGTATTAAGTCAGTTTGGCTAAGAAGATGTTTGCTAAAGAATTAAAAACTAAAACAATACGATTAGTTTTGACTACAACTCTATAATTGAAACGTTTAGCAACCACCAATAGACCTTTAAAAAATTCATTGGCGATCTTTTGCACCAGAGACTTTTATTACATTTTCCTGTTCAGAAATTTAAGGAGACTCGACTGGAGACTGGATAAACATCAGTTAAACAAGAGCCAGGAAATATTAAAACGATGAACACTCTATTGCTTAATGTTCTGAAAGGCTGTAGGTTTAAACTCTAACGGGTGATCCACGAGTTCTAACCACTCTGAAGCAAGCCACTTACCTCAGCTTTCTTTAGATGGACTGTCCCTCTGAAGGTACGGTCACATTACTGTTGACCTGTGATGGTTCGCGGGCGAAATCCAATTATATCAGAATCCGCGCGATCGCAGTTTCACCCGAGGGAGAAAGAATCCCCACGCAGATTTCGCTCGTGTTCAAGTTGTCACAAAAATTTCCCACCTTGACCAACCAGCGTCTTTGTGTAAAATGTGTCTGAGTGTGACAGCGTCTGAGTGATTCTTGCATTGCTACACTATAATGGATAATGGACCTGAATGTCCGCAAAATTTTGCAAAAATTACCGCTGTAAGTCTCTTAACAATTTATACTGTCTATAATTTGTAGTAGAATATAGAGTGTATTAAGCAACAGAAATGACTTATGAAATGTGAAATGTACTTATACATGGCTGCGCGCTATTTACTTTTTTGCCCGCGAAAATTCTCTTAACTAGGCCTATTGCTAATATGACCGGAGGTTCTAATATACTGGAGTGGAGATCAGATGCATGTTTGATATCAGGCCTTATATTATTATTGTTAATACAGTGTAGCCTATCTTATTTTTAGGATTGCACCTCTGTGCCATTAATGTGCTCCAGACAGAAATGAAAACAGATCTGATAATGTTAAGGTAATGTTTACACCTGCCATTAACATCTTGTTGAGCTGAAAATTTTAAAGGGATAGTTCACCCAAAAATGAAAATTTGATGTTTATCTGCGTACGCCCAGGGCATCCAAGATGTAGGTGACTTTGTTTCTTCAGTAGAACACATATGATGATTTTTAACTTTAACCGTTGCAGTCTATCAGTCGTATAATGCATGGCAATGGTAACAAAATCTATGAGAGTAAAAAAAACATGCACAGACAAA